TTATTTTATATTTATTTTTTTATTTATTTATTATGTTCGTCACGAATGTGATCTTTGGACCCGAATATCAGACGACCGAATCCTGTTCCGTCCACTCAATCAGCACGAAACAACGACTAAACGCGCGGTAGAGAGCTTCCCCTTGAATCGGTCCCTTCTACTCCTTCAGAATTACTTGTGAAAGCCACAAGGTCATCGCTTGGGGATTGTCATATTCTCCACAAGAGCTGTGGAAGGTGGGAGCCCCTTGGTAGTAGTCAGCTATCTAAGAAATTTCAAAAGAACGTGCTGAATAAGGATTCCCATTCGCCTTTCGAAACGTGCCACCCTAAAAAAAATCCACAAAACCAATGAAAATAGAAATACGACGGCAACTCACCGTATAATAGTTGTCCAACGTCGCTGGTGTTCGCTGTCCTGTGAGAGCAGCCTTCGACGCAGCATTGGTATGATCAATCTGTTCACGAACCACGACACGGACGGGGTTTCGAAGACCTGAAGACTAGATTTATGCAGAGTATCCGCCGACTGACCTACCTGCACGCAGTAAGTCCTCAACTTGGGAAGTCTGGGTAGCCGAAAATAGTCCCGTTCGACGTTGTTTGGGGAGCAGTGATAATAGAATATTAAGTCTGGGTGTGTCGGTGACAGAGCGTGAGAAGAGGGATAAAACAACACCAGTTTGGATATGTAGAGAGGGATAACAATGGGATAGGTAAACCAAACGGTGACGATTAGCTTGCACAATAAAACGTAAACAGTAACTGCCGCTCAGCTAGATAGAAAGGATACCATGGTATCTTTCGATGTGTGTATCCCATTCACAGAGAGACAACATAAGCTAGCAACACAGACATCCACCAACACACTTCAAGAAACAATTACGAACCTCCCAGTCGATCACAGTGTCCATTTGACAGAGTTGTGTTCAAGAACATATCGAAAGTCTAATGCGGTTGTGCATCAGCAACAGGACGCCTCCACGATATCCCTCTCACTTCCAGACTACTCAGTGAAGTACAGTAACGCAAAGAAAATCGTTGAAATAACAACCTAATTGTTACCACAGGCACATCAACAAAGCACTACCAGCCAATAGGTTGACAGAGAAAGAACCCACTCGCTTGGAGTACCTACCTTTAAGAAAGCTAGATTAGACGCGCACGAGAAGCAACGCAGTGGCCTAATACCATCATTCATCCCACATTACTCACCGTAAAAAACGCGACCTGTCTTACGAGAAAGTGCGTCTAATGGACTAACGACTCGTTAATGCGTGTTCCGGAAACCGAAACAACAATGATCGATCATATGTGTAAAACTGCTTTACCGATTCACCATTATAGCGTTGTTTTGGACACACTGCGCAACCAGACCTGCAGGTTTAAAGGTGTTGTTTAAAGGAGTTGTGTAACCCACCTTATTTCATCACTGTGACAGGGTAGGGAAAATTGGCTGGCTCTATGACGCGGTGACCCACGCTCCCGCCTGTGACAACACTGCCATTACACGTGTCACAATGTCAGTAGCAGTGACATGTCTGCCGTTGGCCTGAAAGAACTGAAGCAAGAACGGATAGTGTCCGGATTTACCCTACTGGGTAAATCGTAAAACCGACACATTGTCCCGTACACTCGTTACCGATCAAAGACACCGTAACCACCGTGCAACAGACAAGTAATGACATGTACAAACACGTAGAGATCGTGCAACACACTTAAGGATGAAGGTAACCTCGTGTGCGCATAGCGGATTCCAGACTTAGTATAACGGGGTCCTCAAGATGTCCATTTTCATTTATACCGTGTATTGGATGTAGATCAGGTGACTGTCGATCTGTTCGCCGAGCTCGGCAATTATTGTGTGTAGACGCTGCGTCACCGAAATAGGATAAATCATCAGCGCGCAGTTGGTTGCGCGCGTCTATATAGTTCTGAAGGGTATTTTTATATCAAGCTGTGACTGGTCCATACGAATGTAGCTTTTTTGTGTGGATTTATTGGTCCGTTTGCGACATGTGCTGCGTTTTGGCTTGCCTCCTCTGATCTGACTGGTTAGCATTTTTCCCCTTGTTTCTATTGACTCGTTCTCAGTTTGTATTCAAATGGACTACGACTTTATCGGGATCGGTTGGCTGAATGTGCTGTCCTATCTTGTCCATTGAAAATGGGCACTATCACCGACTCCCCCCAGTCTACCTGTCCCAGATACAGGCAAACAGTGCTGACTAAAAACTTCACTCCCATCTATGAACGATCCGGGTGGGAGGTCATCCGGACTAGGAGCTCGATGGCGCTCGGGAGAACAAATGCAGTAGTAAACCTCCGGGGCCGTATGAGGTTCCACGTTCACCATCCTGGGTTCTAAGTCAGCTTGGAGCTCTAGGCGGGTGGCAGATGGTGGCCATGAAAACCTGTCCGGAGTATTCGACCCAACGGTCATGATGGTTGCTCCATTCTGATCCTTGAGGATATCACTCACAGATGGGTACCACGGTCCGGTTGCACGGACCAAGTGAAATAATCTTGGAGTATTCCCAACGTTCTGAGCCTCTTCCATTAGTTCGTTTGCCGATAGGGCAGGGAGTGAGAGAAATGACTTTGATAACTCTGATTCAAGAACACCATTGACTGCGTGACAGTCTATCAATGTATCGGTTGGGGTCAATAACTGTTGGTTTGTCTCATCAAGGGGTCCACATCCAGAGAGACGACAATTACCAGTGAAACTGAATTAAATAGGTACGGCTTTCATGCTTCGTTGCCAAGTCATGGAATAACCGTCGTCTGATACAAGGATCTCTTCGGTAGAGCACTATACTTCCAGAAATTCATGTTCTTTCTTTGTTCTTGCTTGAGTTGGCCCAATGGAACTCGTGTCTTTCCTGATCTTTGTGTTCAGAGTTGAAGGAGAACGATAGTGTTTTGGCAGCAAGTTTATGTTCACGTACTCTGGTCGAGAGCTTTCTTTCGGTTTGTCAGGTCATGAAATTGCTATGTGAAATCACTATGAACCAACAATGTACAGCGCCAAACCTCTCCTTCGGAGTCTGTTCGGAACTGATATATGCCAACTGCATCCTTCAAAATACCTTGCCTCGGGACAGGTGTGTGTCCACGAAACTTACTGAGTTTCGAATCCCATTTCCAACAGCCTGTCTGCTTCATCCAGAATGAGAACTTCCTGAAATCGAAGAAAAACCCACCGTTTGGGAATTGGACAACAGAGAAGAGCATCAAACGTGTCAAACATGACCCATAACTTTCAGGTCAAGATTCACTAATGCTGTGGTTGAAGAGCACCGGCAACCTGAGCTTATGCGTTTCACAAGGAGAGTGAAGTGGGCCAACGGGTAAAGGGACCAAAGGTCAGCCCAGTTCCCATCAAGAAAATTGTGAAATGGTGAAATCCCTAACCACTCATCAGTTGCCGAAACGCAGTGTTCATTGCACAGGGGGATGACGGCCATAGATAAGAAGTGGTGCATGCCCATCCTCTGGCAAGATGGCTCAAGTGGTTAGAGCGCGAGTTTACTGACCGGAAGGTTCATGGTTCGAACCCGACCTCTGCCTCCCGACTTCCCCTGTCTAGGCTTGGGCAGCCTGGCAGTATCCCAGCCCTCGTGCTTCCTTTGAGTGGCGTGGCAGTCAGGTACCGAAAGGGTGCTACAGCTGAACGATGCCCATCCTATGGTACTATGCTGTGTTGCTGAGACAAATTCATCTTGAGCCGATCAACCACTTGAAAGCAGCCCCAAATATTTAGGTGCATACTGAGGGAGGAAAAACCTTTTGCATACTGTTGTGTTATCTTACCGAGGAACAAATGCACAAAAGGTCCTTCTCTTGGGATGCTTGGACGGTGATCACGAAACCTCGAGTTTGCCGTGAATTTGTCTTCAATTAATCTTTATACGACCCGAACAGGCAATTTAAAACCACCTGGGGTAGTTGGACCTAGGTGGGTGATAAGCCTTGTAAACCTGAAAACCGTTCAATTGTTTTGATCACGTGCGTCCTTCACCATGTTCACCTTGTGCAATCGTAAAAAGCCTTATTTGTATACCGTTAGTGTGAAACATGTCAGTAATAGGAGGATGTTGATCGGTGACGGCTGGAATTCAGGGTTCATGCAAAATAAATTTATCTCGCTAATAAGTTAAACAGATTTGTTGCACGATGTTCCAGTAGTTGTGGAGCGAGACGGTTAAAATCAAATAAAACAGAATGAACCTTCCAAAAGGCACTCACCAGACTACGGAAACCCCGCACAATTGGATTAGAAGTGCGCTGTGCACCCTGTTGAACCATGTCCACAAGCCGACCCGGGGTGGCAATCAACACCGTGGCACCTTGCTTTTGGAAGTTTTCAAAATCTTGAGCTCGCGTTGTGGCACCACCAGATCCACCTCCACCAGTCCAAACCAAGGTAGTGAAAAGCGCATTACTGTGGATAAGTAACAAGGAGAAGACGTCTGGGTTGTGCGAATGACGTAACTGTATTTTGGATGAAACATACAAAATGTTATAATAATTGTTCTGTTTGTTTAATCAGAACAGCATTGCCCACAGAAAAACCATGAAGTCTGGATTACCGTGCCCCTGAATGACCTTAGTAACCAAACATGAATTTGGATATCCCTAGAAATGTATCGACTTTTTCCGTCGGACATTTGTTTGTGTCAACGCGATCAGCTAAAACATACCGCAGTGCAAGATCTAAATTAGATTATCAGCCAGTTGATTTAAAGGTTGAATTCATCACCCACAAACAAAAAGAGAGACAGTTCCGAGCAAAACGGTAAAGACGGAACTAGAAATCTCTATTGTTGGAAAGCTCACCTTGATTCATCAACATAACTGGCTAGAAGTTTGGAAGTGACTTCGAATAACTGAAGAGCTAGCTCAGACGTAGGTGATATGATGAGAGCTCCAATCTGCAAGCCAAAAGGATGTGAACGCATGCATTACTGACGCCAAAACAACTAACCTCATGTTTTTTCCATTGATGAACTCTTCGTCTGAGTATTTCCAACACGGGGATAAGAAATGCCAACGTCTTCCCGGAGCCTGTGACGGCCTCAACAGCCACATCTTTTGAACTTAGGAATAGAGGTATGACAGCTTTCTGGGGATAATTCGGAACCGTGGATAAAATCTCTTACCTGAACCGGTAATGGGTTTAAGAAACCAAGTGACTTGATGGCACTTATGCCCTCTGGAGAGAAGCTTATGCCGTCAAACTGCCACCCCAGAGACATTTGTGCTTGTTGAAAACTGCTAGGATAGTAGAAAGATATGGGTGTGAACGATGTCACAGTTCTCAGCAAGCGAAGGTGAAGGCATCAAAGTGCAGCTAAACTCGCAAAAGGTCAGAAAAATAGAGGATAATGCACAAACGACTGGATGTCCGCAGAGGGTTGACTTAAATCATCATCATCGACAGCATGACATGAGTGTTCAACACCGATGCTTCACTGCCGTACAACCATGACTTATTTGAAAGCCTTATTGTAAAGAAAAGAATAAAGGTGGATGGGGGAGGGACTTAGTGCTAGCTTAACACAATCATTCCGAGGTGCCTACACCTCCAGACATTCACTCAGGCAATCTGGACAGAAACTGACAACAAGAACGCCACTGA